AGTAATAATAATGCAAAGATTTATAGAATGATCTATTTAAGTATCATACACTAATTCAGCGTTTCTCAAACTGTGGGTCGCGAATAGTTTTTTAAATTATACAGATTCCAAAAAATGTATGTTAAATTAATTTTAAACAAATTATTATTAATTAAAGTACATTTGTAAAAATATATTGATTATAAACCTATACAATAATAAAAATAATAATTTAAACCTAATAAACAAATTTTATTAAAAAAAATTGAAATATATTATATTATTTTAAATTAATTTTTTTTTATTTAACTACTTTTTAAAATGTGAAACCATGTGGGTCATTAAAGATTTTTCGGGGGAAATTTGGGTTGAGGTACTAAAAAGATTGAGAACTGCTGCACTAATTATTTTAAAAAGTTTTAACTAAAAGTAAAAGTTATTTTACAATATTTCATATCATTTCAAAAAACATTTTTGAAAAGATTATATTTTTATGATTTTTTATTATTATTATTTTTAATTATTTTACTTTGTTGAAAGATAACATAGGTATATTTTTAATTGTACCTATATAGATACTTCAAAGTATTATATTTTTCAGAAAATTTTAATATATACAAATTGAATTTAAAATTTAAATACTTGTAACATTTAACAAAATTATTTAACTTACAAGTGTTTACAGTTTAGATAAGTAAAGTAGAGTGGTACAGCAGGGATTTACCCCTCAACATTTTTATCCACTACCTACTCTTAACCTCCATTCTTCTAAATTTTAAATATTTTAAATTATAAGTCTGAAATTTGATTTAAATTAATTGAAATACTCCGTGTAATATTCTTATTTGGAATATGAAATTAATTTTGTATAAAGTACTTAAAAAAATAAGAAACTTAAAAAGTGATAACAATAAAAAAAAAATTTCAAATAAGTTAAACTTTTTTAAAGGTATTTCAACTAAAATGTCATTCGTCGAAATGTTCCAGAACAGCGTTTCTTAAACTTTTTTATCCATGAAACTTTTTTTGATGTCCACTTTAATCGTGGAATCCCTACATTTTTTTAGCTTTTTAACTTTTTTTAGGGTTATTTACAATAAAAATTATAATTATTTCATGTGATGATTGTACTGTATAGTATATAATCTATAAATATAGGTATATACATTATTATTTAATTTAAAAACATTTTTCTTCACTAGCCATTATTAATCTTTAGTTAGATATTTTGAAAAAAATTACTTAAGTTTTACAGAATCCTGAAGTGATCTCCGCGGAATCCTGGAGTTCCACGGAACACAGTTTAAGAAACGCTGGTTTATAGTATGATGGATTAAAAGACTTAATAACATTATTAATTTATTAGTAAAAATCAATGTACACTATACAATTTAGAATACATTTTGTATATGAGTACATGATGTTAATATTATTTTGTTACATACTACAATAATGTATTGCAAGTTTCCTCACCACCTTAGCACATTATAAAAATCGATTTTATATCAACTTTAATGTGCATAAGGTATTGCATTTGGCACGTTTTTTATTGTGGTTTCCCTGAATATAACTTTTAGGCCTAGTCCACACAGAAGATAATAGGTGAACAACTGCCAAACAACTATAATGAGGGAAACTGTCACGATTTAACGTATTATACATATTTTAAGCTGAAATTATAATGGCTATAGTACATTTTTGATTTAACAAAATAGTACTTTTTATATGACCGAAATTCTCCCATTATCCTCATTGAAAATATTGAATTTATGACGTATATGATATTAATGATGATCCAATAAACTGTAATCATTATTATTCGATCTAATTATAAAGTGCAAATTTATATATAAAAAAAAAAACGTACTCCACATTACAATATTATATACGTATTAACATTATGAAGTAATTTCGTCTATGTTGACATATTTTTGTCTACTGAATTCAACACTGTACAAATACATCTTAATAGTTATAAGATTTTAAAATTGAACATAAGTTTTCTCTAATCTTATTTTATATTTTTTTAACAGAATATGAAAATTTTAAGCAAATTTGGCACTTTCAAACGTAAATAACGATTTCTACTCAAATATTTTTTTTAAATATCCCACTTTAAAGTAAAGCTATTAATTTTACCAATTTATTGTACGTCGGTATATTGATTTATAGTTTATAAATATATAGCATGGATTTTTATGCGGTAAAAAGTATCGAAATATGCCATTTACTATATGCAGTAAAAATCATGAAAAAATGCAACATTTTATAACATTTTTTTATTTATTTAAAATTCACGAATTAAGCAACTTATAATAATCAATTACTTAAATAATTAACGAACATTTTTCGCTTTGATATGCAACACATTTTGAATTTTATAAAAATATGCAAAAATAATCAATAACCATTCATTATACAGTAATATGCAAAATACAAATTTAGATTCAAATAATGATTCGTGGAAATAGTTGACAAAAATCCAGAAAAGTGAAAAGGAAAATAATATGCAATTACGTAAAATCCACACTTTGTTTATAAGTTAACAAAAATAATTTATAATAAACTATTATAATACTTATTTAATAATATTTTACGCAGTGTTTTTACCTAAAATTAGTTCAATTTTTGATTATAAATATTAAAATTTAAAATCAATGGTTCAAATTATTCTAAAAATTATAAAAAATTTCATAAGGAGACTGACACTCAAAATCGTTTTTAGTGCCTATGCAATAATTTATGACCAAACTTAAATTAAAAACATTCATTGGCATTAAAGCAATATATTCAATAACAAATATTTACGAGACATAATAAACCTAATAAACAGTGATTTTATCGTTTTTATTTTTTAGTTTTAAAAATCTTTTTTAATTATCATTTATTAATAACACTTTTTATTTCTAATGCAGGAAAAAATCGAATGACTTTAGAAAAAATACCTGTGAAAAATAAAAATATTTTTGAAAATGTTGAACGCCATTAATCTAATATTACTAGAATTCAGATATTAAACAAAAATAAATTACAAGTTGAAATTGATCAAAGGAATAAACACTTAGCTCGAAGTACCTATTATACACTCAAATAGTTCATAAAATCGAAATTAATTATACTATACGATTTCTATTATTTTAATATTAGATCAAAGATTTTTAATTTGGAAACGAAATAAATATTTACAACGAAACGCTCAAATATATGAAAGTATTGATAAAAATAAATCTAGTGGATATTCTTCATACTTAAAAGACAACAAAATCAAAGTAAAACCCCAAAGCATTAAAACTTTTTTCAAAGCTAACAAAATAAGTGAGTTGTAAACACATTATAAATAAACTATAATATGTTAATAAAATATATCATTACAATTGTATTTAAATACTTAAAACGATTTTCAGATTCAAAAACCACACAAAATACTTTTCAATAAGTTTTCCATGACTATCATATGAGGATTATCAAGACCTACCTTTAAAAATTCAAAAAACATTGACAAATGGTAAAATGACGAGTAAACTTTTAGAAATAATTGAAACGAAGATGAACAACCAATGTGGTGATGAATAAATATCACAAACCGCTGAATAAACAATTTTACGATTCAAAATATTATGACAAATATATTAATACGAAAAATAATGCCTAATTAGTAATCACTAATAAAGGTTAACGCAATCTAGTTTAATACGGGTAAAACAAATATTGGTAGTTACTTTATTTTGATATTTATTTAAAGATAAAAGCTTTAAATCAAAAATACTTAATTCAAAATCACAAAATAAACATAAATTCATAAAAGAAAATCGTAAGACATTTTTACCGAATTAGACAAAAGCGTGGCATTATTTCAAAAATTATTACGAGGAAGAGCTTATCAAACTAAGATTAAAATAAAAACTTAATAATAATAGTAAATTGTGGTATTAATGATAATGTATTATAGATAATAATAGCAAAAATCAGATATCAACCAATTTTACACTCAGACAAAGCACCAGAGACACTTGATACTACAAAAGTATAATTATCAGCAAATATTATTTAAATTAAGAATGATAGCAAAATATTTAACAATAAAGTATACCTTTCTACAGAAAATTAAATAAATTTGATGTATTAGAATATTCTAGAAAAAAATATATTAGTAGATTTTTCGACATTCTTTCCAGCGAATCAATTCATATTAAATAAATACAGTAAAAATCAAAAAAAAAAAATTGATTCATCAAGGAAATTTGAATGAAATGATAAAGAGTAAAAAAAGACAAATAGAAATAACTGCCATATAGATAATGGATAACTGACTTACTATAATATTATATTACACCTATACTTTAATTTTAAAAATGTCATAATATGTACGTGAAATTATCTATATAAAATTTGCATAGTTATGTGTACAATAATAAAATGAAATATAATACATAACATCATGCAATTAACATTTTATGTATTTATTTTGCGTTGTAATAAAAAAAACCATCTGTAACAATGTTTTAGTTCCATATAAAATTAATTTTTATACAAACTAAATAATTTAATATATTAATAAATACATATGATACAAATATTTTTAAATAAAAATGGGTACAAATATTTTTTATTTTTTAATTTTGACGGTTTTAAACCATTTTAAACGGAAGATTTGGATAAATATTGGTTTTATTATTATAACGCCGAACATTTTTTCTTTCCAAAGAGCATAGGCGGAAATTTGGTGAAATTACTGGGGGGGGGGGGGGGGGGAGTATATTTCTCATTGCACCTATATAGGCACTAATGTACTTAAGTCACTCGCAATTATTTATTTCAACAAAACAATTTAAAAGTTTGACATACTAAACAATTTAACCATAATACAATACAAAAACAATAATGTGCCTTACCTTGAACATTTTATTCTGAACAGAAATTTTATCATTAAGTTATTAAATTAATTGAATTATAATCAATTTAATATTGGATGTGAAAACAAAGAAGTCAAGTATATAACATAATAAGAGTATCTAATATATTTATTTCAATACAATATATCGATTTTTATTCAAAAAAGCATTAACTATATCATTATTATTAATCTTTTTTGCTAAATCTTTTTCAATGTTTAAAATAGAAAGATCATTGAATCTATTTTCAACCATTGTAGATCGCATCCAAGTTTTTATTCGGCGCATTGCAGAAAAAGAACGTTCACAGGTGGCTGAACTTATTGGTAAAGTTAAAGCCACCTGTAGAAGTTTATATATATTTGGGTAGACATTCTTGACAATAAATGTTTTTAAATCCTCTAAGGAGATATCATCTTTTCCAGTTGTTAATGTTAAGTAGTTTTTTACAACAGTAATTTCGGATTTTAAATTATAACAATTGACATCTAATAAATCCTAGAAAATAAAAAGATATACATAAGTCATAATGTGTTACTATTTATTATTAATATTAAAATGTTGTGTAGTGTGAAATTAGTAAGTGTCATATCAGCCAATTCATGTATGAAAATCAGAGTATTTTAGGAGATGTTACAATGTTAGTCAATTATACAAAGTTTAAATAATGTATCAATTAACAATTACATTAATTATAGTATAGGTATACCTTATAGTGGTCAATAAAGAATTTGCTTTTTTCAATGTTCAGTTTAAAAAAGTTATCAATAGATTCAGCCATTTCCAAACTTTCTGTACAAAACCGTTTCTTCATATTGACAATAATGGAATCTAAAACTTTAAAGTATGCATTTACACGAAAATAATGTTCAGCAGTAGCATTATCAACTTCATTGGGTTCTTTGGCACCAGTAGCAGTAGTCAAAACGAAATCAATAAGTCTATTAGGTTCTCTTTTTATTTGTTTCAATCCTAAAATACAAAAATACTTATAATTTTTACTTTCTACAGTCTACACCTAACTATAAAATTATTAAATAATATTTACTTTGTGTTTGAAATGGTACATTGAAATTAATGTTGTAGTCTTTAGCAAAGTCTTGGATTTCTAACCATAAATTATTAAAAGCAAGAGTAGATTTATCATTTTCAAAAGTTTGCAAAACACCCTTGATAAGAATTGCTGCTTTGCCTAGTGTTGCATTTTTTTCTTGTAGCATTTGACAAAGAATATTTATTATAGACAATATATCTTTTAAAATAAACAAATTAACAATAAATGAGCTTGTTGACATATTTGTAAGTATACCTTGAAAAAAAAACATTTAAATATTAAAATCCAATTATTTTAAATGTTTCACACAATTTACCTAAAGCTTCATTTGCATTTCTATCAGTTTGATTGTCTATTTCTTCCTGTAAAACATTTATAATAGCTTTATAATTGTGTAATATTGCTTCACAGTTTTTAAACAGACAGTTCCATCTAGTATCACTTAAGCAACCAATGTGGATACTTTTTATTCCCAACTTTTTTTTGCATGTCAACAAGCATTTGGTTTTTAGTTGGATGATAAAAATGGATATATAACCCTTCAATGGTATTGAAAACAGTCCTAGTTTCCTATACAGAAAAAAAATATATATATAAAACAGCTAAAACATACACTTTCAACAAATTACAATTTACCTTAACATATTTGCACATGTCGATTACTACAAGATTTATACGATGGGCCATACAATGCGTATAAATGGCATATGGAAATTTATTTTTAATTTTAACCTGAACACCATTGAACTTTCCAGACATAACATTTGCCCCATCGTAGGATTGTGCCACAATATGAAACGTGTCCATGTTATTTTTAGTAAGGTAAGCAAATATATGGACACTTAAGGATTCAGCATCTTGTTTGTCAGAAACGTCAATAAATCCCAGAAATCGTTCTACAATATTAAGGCCAACAGTATACCTTACACATAAAGACATTTTTTCTTGCTTAAAACACCTAAAATAAAAATTAAAAAATCCAGTTGGTAGGTGGTGAAAGTACTTCTCTCATTGGGTCTTGGGTTATAAACAAAATAATTTTTAAACCTTTACTAAATTGAATTTTTTATACTTGTCATTTAAAAGTTAGATTCTTACCTAGCTTCATCACACATTATACCAAAAACTTTAGTGTCTTCAATTTCTTTTGTAATTTTATGTCTTATGTTCTCAGCACATAAATTAGCCAACTCATCTTGCACAGCATGACTAGTGTAATTGGTAGTATTTTGAAACTTTTCTGCAAATTCTGGATAGTGTTTTGCAATTAAATTGCAAATTTCTTTAAAATTTCCTGTAACAAGAATATATTATGTCTATAGGTAATGAAAAATGTATCTGGTATTTTAAATGTTATATATTATAAAACATAATGTTTTATGTATCTATTAGATAATCTTTTAGCAGTGAAAAAATTTAAATTGTAATATATGTTTAATTATTTTAGTTAGTTACCTTGATTTAGTGAGAGCCTTGATTCTTCATGTCCTCTAAATGCTAATCCTTGGCAGCTCAAAAATAATGTTATATCAACAAGAGTTTTAACATATTGGACATTTTTTTCTACGAGAAGCCTGTGGCTTGATGCTACTTGAGAGTGGAGACTTCCTGTTATTGTAGTAGAAATATAAGCTTCCTATTTGGCCATGCAAGTTAAATGCTATTTACTAGTCGAATGTCCATGCAGTTTATTCTGTTTATTTCCTTTTTTTATTGTTGTACTTCGTTCAGTTACGTATTGCTAAAATGACAAAATGCTATTTATTACACAAATCATTATGCAATTTCCAATTTTGATTACATGCTCTATAATGGAGAGAGTACTTGGTATAACATATACAATTTCAAATATTTACAGACAGAAAATATAGATATTATAACCGCTACTAATTTAATAGAAACAACCAATTACAAAATTACAGAATTTAAGAAAGTAGAGTTCAAACAATATTTGATAGTGTTATTGAAATTGCTGAAAGGTTGGCGTGACTCCTATTATCCCACGGACTGTAGAACTCAAAACACCGGGCAAATTATACTGTTATATGGTGATTGTTGCACATACTATAGGGTATCAATTTTCTATCCATATTTAGATGATTTGCTTTCATCTTTTAAATGAAAGATTTTAATTCAAATTCTAATTTAATATCTTCACTTTCTTGTTTATTACCATCTAAAATAAAAATAAAATATTTGATGATTACAAACCTCTTTAGAATTTTATAAGATGATTTAAATATAGATTCTATATTCAACCTTAAAGGAGAGTTTGAATTATGGCAAATGAAGTGGGAAACAAACAGTCATTCAACCAACTCCCTTGATACATTATTAAATTGCCCAAATTTTTCCTAATATATATACAATGTTGAAAATTTTCTCAATATTGCCAGTTACTACAGCTTCAGTTGAAAAGTTTTCAACTCTTAAGCGTATAAAAACTTATTTGAAATTCAACTAGTGAAAATAGACTTAATGGACTAGCACTACTCAATGTACATAGAGATATAGATTTAGACATAGACTCATATTAATTGATGTTTTGCAAACAAAAAAGAGAGACGTCTAGATTTTAAATTATAAGTAGGTAGTAGATACAAGATAGTAGATACCTATATAATTTAAAAATTATCTGTAGATAATTTATTTTAAAACTAAGTTGTTATTTTATTTATCAGTTGGTCATTGTTACTTTATTATATATCAAAGAATAATTTGTATTTTAATATTTACATTTTTAATCTATTTGTTATATTATAAAATAAAGAAATATTTTGTTGAGTTTTAATCATTTAACATATTTTTCAGGTTCATCACAATCTCCTATTTTTAACTATCCCTTTCTATCCTAAGACTAGTTTATATATATGTTTTATAAAGTTAAAAGTTATGAACTTGTATTCTTGTTAGTAAATAGAAATAATATTTCCTAAAAACAAATGTTGGTTTACAAAACATACAATTGATATAATATTATTAGATATCTTATATAGGTATACTAACTAATGCATTAATATATGGTTAACATTTTACAATTACAATATTATTTATAATTGTTATGTTAAATGTATGGGAATCAATGGAACCATAGTTTGTTAATATAATAGTAGTCCATAAAAAGATATGTGCAGTAAAAACTATTGTTACAAAATTTGAGGTGCCCCCAAAAATATTCTGGCTACGGCACTGG